TTGGGCAAAAAAGGGAAAAACTCAAGAGGTGTGCATGCCTAATCCTTCACCAGAGAGATACAGCTAAGAATCTCTTCCAGATCTTGCCATGTAGAAGTGGCTAGAATAATACAGGGCCTTTATTCAGCTCCTCATACATGCTGTACAAGCCAAGATATCCCTTATTTTAAGGAACTATTCTTTACTGCTTTGATCTGCTGCAGGAAGAAGAAATCTGAGTGACTAAATAGACATATCTTTGCTAAAGGCTGCTTCATTTCCAAAGTCATATTGTTTTCTCAGATGAAGTGTCCAAGTTTTAATTAGCCTCAAATCAACAGCAATGTGATACACACCATTTCTCTGAATTTAAAGGAGGTGCATTTTATAGACACTACATATAAATGACCTCAGCAACCACTTAACTACAGGAAGCTATGCTGAAAATTTATTTCCAGGATAACCTAATCCTACCTAAAAAAAGGTTAAAAATATTGTATGTGTAGACTTCCAGAAGCTAAAAAAAGTGGGATTAAGTCACCTTTTTAAAAAGGATTAAGTACTAGTTGCATTAGGCCCAGCTGGCTCTGTTAATACAACACGGAAATGGTGCAAAGAAGAAAGGGAGATTATAATTTAAGTTTCTGTCTATGATTTATGTACTTCAGTTCTTTAAGTTGCATCCTCCCTAATGAATGCAATAAATCATCCAAATCACTTAAATGGGGACTGGGAAATGACAGCTATTTCCCACCACCGAACACTACATGTTGTTAGGACAAAGACTGCAAGTATTTGCTAACAATACATCAGTCCTCCATTCAACACAGAAAATAACAACTTGGTTGAGATGATTATAATTCTCTATGGGAAGAATAATGCCATAAGCTATGGAAACATTAGTATGTTTCTTACAGTTACCATTATTATAGAGTTTAAAAAGGAGTCATGCATTGTGTAACTCTTTTCTGTACAGCAGCAAAACCACACTTGTTTTCTTCACACATACAAAAAAGTTTCATGGCTACTAAAGCGATTCTGATCTTCACAGTAATGTAGAATGTTAGAATAGTTTGGGTTGGAAGACACCTTTAAAGGGCATCTAGTCCAACCGGCCCTGAAAGAAGCAGGAACATCATCAATTACATCAGGTTGCTCAGATCCCCATCCAACCTTGAATGTTTCCAGGGACCAGGTATCTACCACCCCTTTGCACAACTTGTCCCTGTATTTCACCACCCACATCATAAAGGAAAAAATAAAAAAATCTTGCTTAAATCTAGTGTAATTTTGCCCTCTTTTAGTTTAAAACCATTACCACTTCTCCTATCACAACAGGCCATGCTTAAAAGTCTTTCTCTATCCTTACAAGACACCTTGATATATTGAAAGGCTGCAATAAGGTCTCTCTGGAACCTTCTCTTCTCCAGGCTGAACAAATCTGACTCTTTCAGCCCATCTTTCATAGACACAGTGCTCGACCCCTCTGACTATTTTTGTATCCCTCCTCTGGACCCACACCAACAGATCCATGTCTTTCTGTACTGAGGACCCCAGACCTGGACACAGTACTCCAGATGGGGTCCCACCAGAGCAGAGAGTAGAGGGGCAGAATTACCTCCCCTGACCTGCTGGCCATGCTACTTTGGATGTGGCTCAAGATGATTGGCCTTTTGGGCTGCATGCACACACTGCTAGCTTATGGGAGTCCAGCTAGACAACACCCGTAGCCCTTCCCATCTATCAAAACAGTCCATCAGAGAATGCCACTAGGTTGGTCAGGCAGGACTTGAATTTGGTGAAGCAATTTCATAACACTGGCTGTCCTGAATTATCTCTCTGTCCTTCATGTGCCTTATCATAGCTAAGAGCATGTAGCTCTTAAAATATTTTCCTCTAAATTTGCTATATAACACCCCCACAATCATGCTTTCTGTCTGGGGGGTATTATTTTGACTGAGTGTGCATGTGCGTAAGAGCCCATGCAACCAAGTAATACTGTACATCTGTACTGGGATGTATGCTTTGTTCGGATTCTTGCTAAAGCTGAGAATAAAGTAACAATGTTAGACAGCTTCCAGAAACCAGTTTTTAAGAATGAAGAAAGCTGTTTTGATTCAGTCCTTTCAAAGAAATAAACCATACCTTCAAATCTAGTTTATGTTAACTACAGAAAGAGTCTTTGACTGCATATGCCTTTTTTAAACTCTCAGTAGAAGAAATGACAAGTTCCCCCCCCCCGAGTTTTCCTTGCATGCCTTTTCCTTTTTTGTTATGTTGTTTAAAATGTAATGTTCGCAAAGAGATATTGCTGAAGGCTTTGGACTGATGCCTTCCGAAGCTTCCACTTTTCCTTTTACTAGCAATAAAGAATTTGTTTCTAGAAACATGTAATTTTAATTACAAAATTACCCCAAAAACATAAATGGAATTTAATTGGTTACAAAGTAATATTTTCACATAATCAAGCAATTGTTTGGGGGATTTAAGGCATAATTTATTAGTTCTGGATAAGATACACATTTTAATTCCCACAGGCAAATAACAAACTGATTAGTAAGTGTAATAAAGCAGTTTATTTGTCTGACAATTGGCAGCTAGAAGTGCAATAACTTACTTGATCAATTGCCATTTTAAAAAACATTAAAGCTTCTCATAATTATGCTACCTATATGGTATGCAGATGAACAACAATACAGCATTACCGCTATTACACTAGAGATTTAATATGATGTTTCTGCCAGGTTTTGTACCTTTCTACATAATGCAAAAGGAAGTAATTACTTTCTGTACTGAAAGATTGAAGAACTGGCTCCCCCTTAGATATGCAAGGAATTTGACTATAGGAAGAACTAAAGATGATAGCTTCCCTTGATCAAATTTTTTTCAAAACCATCCATGTCACTTTTGAAAAAAAGTCTTAGCTTTCCAGTCATTTATTACTTCAGAATCCTGTAGTTGTCAAGTGAAGACAGCCACCTCTCTCTGGCAGCAAGCTTCTCCAATTCATTACATAAAATGAAGTTCTTCTCATGTTCCTTAATTCAACTACTTTGTTAGGTAACATCAGTAGCTAACAGCTCTTGGAGTCCAGTTCTCTGACAGCCTAGCCTCATTGAATTCCATGGAACTAAGCCAACACAGGAAGTCATCAGAGAGCTAATAAATACCATGCACATTTCAGACACACACTATACAATGGAAAAGACTATGCCAAATGTGTAAGATCACCCTTTTGAGATCAAATGAAATACTTCCATGATCTAGGTAAGGAAATATTTATCAGTCAAGAGTTCAGAACTTCTAGAACTAGAGTACGCTTCTTTGAGAAGGTCAATGGAGATTGCCTTGGTTCCCTACTGTTTTACTGAAAATGTCTTACACACCATTAAAACCAGGACAAAAAATATTACATTAATATCACACAAGTTTCAAGAAAAAGTGAACAAAAAACTCGAACACAAAGACAAATGTGATACGATACACCATAACATGCAAAGACACCTTAACTCTTTTCTGAATGTGTTTGTGTTTTTCTCATTTCAACTCAACATCAGTACAATTAACCCCATTCTTCTAGTGCTCTCAAAGAATCACATTTAGAACAGATTTACCAAGGGAATGTGTTTTTAAAGTCTTTGGCAGGGAATCAATTCTGGGATATTATTTTGTGCTACAGGAGAAAGGTCAAAAACCTTGTTAAAATTCTAACGGAATTTAAGTTTTAATGACTGGAAACTTATGTTCTGTATCACTGAAAACTACAGAGCGGAGTTACTATTTTATTGCCATTCCAGATTAAGCCAATGCACAAAAGTACAGGCCTACTATTAAGAAGCTCAGTATATCTAGACTTCTAACAGTGTTCTGAGGGACCTCGCAGGACTTAATTTTCATAATAAATATTTTAACAAGTCATACATTCCCCTTCTATAATATGAGCTTTCAAAGAAGAGGTGGAGGAGTGCTAAGGAAATACCAGAAGTCATTCTTTGGACTCTTCATTCCACTGTCAGGGTTGCAAATCATCTGTCAATTAGCTTATCTTTTACTTCATTTCTTGAGAAAAACAGACAAGCAGCGGTAGATTTTCCTAGCTTGCTAACATCCAAACAATCTGATGTCACTAATGACTTCTACCTGAAACCATCTCTTTGAAGTAGGGAAGCCTTCTATAGTGTCTTATTAACGAAGAACTGAAGTACAAGGTAAGAATAGCAAAATGTACAAAAAAGCCTGTGACTAAGTCATGATTTCTTACATCTCTGTCTTGATCAGACAGTTTATTCACCAGTTCCTCTTGCAGCTAGTGCATGCCTTTCATAACTCTACCTTTCTACTTGCATCATACAAGTTCTACCAAGCTCTTCCCCTTCACATATCACTTAGTTTCTCAGAAATCTTTCTGGTTCCTGTAAATATTCCCGGTCCTCAGGTGCAGTGATTTCCATCAGGAGGATCTCCAACATACATTTGGAGGCTTCCCACTTTCCCTTCTTCTCAGCAGTTTGCAACATTTACAGATTCTAGAAAAATTTAACATTAAGACAGAGATACTTAGGATAACATTAAGACAGAGATACTCTGCCACTTCCTTAGGATTCACATATAAAGGTAAAAACATACAAAGCTTGTGACTCAAGCAATACAGCACTCTGTTTATTATTAGTAATCACTAACTGAACTATTCTAGCATTAGGTAAGAAATCTGCCTGGAAAAAAAGGTAAACTATTATTATGTAATCTACCTTTCAACTAGCAAATTGCTGATCAATTCAATCTCTTACTTATAGTCTCTGTGGCAATAATTATTCCCCATAGCAAGTAACGCCTGCAGCATTTAAAAATGTCTTCCTCCCCCATCTGACCTCTCTGCATAATACAGATTCTGAACCTGTTCTACTTAGAAATCAACATAATACACTAATTAAATTGCTAGAAAAACCCTTATTCATCAATCATTATTTTACACTGTACAATATAAAGAACACTGCAGAGTTGCATTGCTGTATAATACATACCCCATGGTCTTTAGCAGCCGTAACCACTTTTGAAAGAATATCTTCTTCAACAAATGGCCTCACAGCGTCATGGATAATCACTACTTCTGGTTTCTGGAGCAGCTGATTGGAAAATTCATTCTCTGCAAATACCTTCAGTCCATTGAAAATTGACCGGTGACGAGTGACTCCACCTTTTACTATTGTAACTCTTTTATGGCCGTATTTTTCAGTGATAGATTTCATTGTTTCAATATTTTCAGGAGAGACAACCACAACAATGTCAGATATCCAACTTATCCTAGAAGAAATAGTAAAGAAAAAGTAGACATGAATAAAAGTAGAGGTATCGCCATAAAACAAAGAAATTAATATCAAAATAATTTCAAGATGGGTAAATAAAGCATCTCTAAGTACACTCGAGTCCATCTTTTCATCTGTGCATTACCACTCCACCTTTAAAAGAAAAGCTACATTAGATCTCTACCAATACACAGATGTCAACCAAACTGGAATTCTGGGAAGGGACTGGCTTCCAACAACCAGTAAAAAAGGCATCTTCTAATAACCCTTTGAAATATCTTCAAAACATTTCTTACTCCAGCCTCATTCCTAGCTTCAAACATAAGCTCTAAATCAATCAGCTAGAGTCTGTTATTTCAGCTTTCTCTAAATTCAGTCTCCAATAAATTGGTAAATCTTAGGACCTGGAGTACTCCATGTTCTACTGTGCAGTACACTGTGTACAAGTGAGTAAGAGGATCAGGAAACTCTGAAACAAAGCTCACTATTAAGGCAGGCATGAGCAGCAATTGACAGATTGCTAATGAATCAAAACTGTGACACCTGCATATTCACAGGAAACAATATACACACACAGAAAGATTTCTGCTCTAGGAAGCTAGCAAAATGTAAAAACATAGGTAGCTAGGTAAAATTACCATAATATGAAAAGCATATTTTTAGATAACTTCAAGTTTTTACTGTTAGTATCAGCCTAGTTCTCCAATTGAGTGGTGGTATGCAGGGAGAATGACCTATCACCCACCAGACTAAACCAGTCATAAGTGAAGTCACACTTGTGTCAAAGGACCTAGGAATACAAATTCTAGTCACATGTGGCATACTGAGCTTCAAACTAACTTAATCATTCAAATACAGCTATTTGAGTATCTTATTTCCTAAATGCTATGTAGAGAGCATAAAAAGGATATTAAATTATTTTATTGCCTTTCTGTGTCTCCACAGATGACTGGGGGGGGAGGTGGGGTGGTGCACGACAGACACCAAACTCATCAGATGAGCAACAATTACAAACACAATTCACTATTTACTATCGTAAAATTACTCATATGTATCCTACATATCCAACTAGGACAGGAGACAAGCATAGTACATTCTCTCAACTAAAATTAGTAAATCTATTGAAACTAATTTTGCAAACACAACACAGACTAACGTACTACATACTTCCAGTTAGAATTAAAAATAAAAATTTACAGTTCAGAAATACACAGCCTCAAGGTATTGATTCCTGCAATAACAGATGTGAAAGCATTGCCTAGGAACTACTCTTCCTCCAAAAGTGAAGTCATCTGTGACACAAATCACTGCCCTAGAACTATGTGAAACATCAGACCATCTTCTGTCTTCTGTATGTTTCAGGGTTTTTAATTAATGGAACTCCATTACATTTATTTCAATGAATTCAGAATAACTATTAAAAATAAAATAACTAGAAGTGCTATTGGCATTATTCTAAATAAACCTATTTGTCCTTATATTCATTTTATTAACAAAGGCATACAACCAAACTAACTTATTCTCAGCATATTGTAAGTACTGATGTTATTCAAAGGTAAAATCTGAAGTCATATGGTTTCAAGTTTCAACTAGTCACTCACAACAGGTTCATCAAAAGGTTTTCAAACCTCTCAAATGAGTCCTGGCATAGTCTTACATTTAGCCACACAACTTAGCACCTCTGCATGACTTCAACTTAGAACTAGGGCAAAATAATTGGATCCATCTCACTTTTTCTTTTGAATACTGAGAGTCAGTCATTTAAATACAGCAAAATTCAAGAGCAGCTATTTCACACTACATGAGAATTAGAGCTCTGCTCTTCTATTTGCAGCAAGAGTATAGCCTTACACAGCTCTCAGAAACAGTGACCAGTCTGCACATTCACTAATGACTATGTAAGAGCAGCACTGACATTTCCCATTCTGGAGTCAAATGAGGAAGTTTATGAGGCAGCTGGGTAGCACACTGCATCTTCTGAGACGAAAGGAAGAGAACAGGCATACTGGCCAGCCTATGATAAATCTCTGCACAGGGGGAGTGGAATGGCTTAAGGCCTCCAGTGATACAATACATGAAAAAGTGACAGGATGCGGCCACAGCTCCACCCTGTGTCTGGATAAACACATTTATAAACTTGAGTATGTCCTCAAACCCATTCTGGACTAATGTTCTATAATTAAAGCTAGGATTTAGAGATGCAACCTATTCATGCAAGAGTATAAAGGTATCCTCTAGACTGATCAGGTACAAGAACAACTTTGGCTTTGAAGCCTAATGTGTCCTACCAAAACCCATGAAAAGTACTAATTTGGTAAAGCATGCTACAAACTCTAGTGAATGAGAACTGTGCACCACACAGGTGCTTACTCTTTTAAAGACCTGCTTATGGAAATATTGCAAAGTGTTTTAATGAGTGATTACTGATACTTTTCGACTTCAATCTGGCAGTAGATGGATCTTTTTCTCCCTCAATTTGTCACAACCTTTTCTTACTATTTTAGTATTAAATCTCTCTGAGGAAGCTCAGGACTTGCTTAAAACAAGTTTAACAATTGGAAACACCCTTTCCATTTTATAACCTTAATATTAGACTGCGATAATGGAAGCTTCAGAATCAACACAAGGCATAAAAAAGGTCAGAATACTGTACCCCAATGTGCTTTAACAAGCACTAAATACAAAACTCTAATCCTTCCATGCAACATAGACTGTATCTCTAAAGTGAAAAAATCAGGTCTGATCAAATGAAACACAAGAACTCAGTTGTAATTACTTTACAACTGCCTTGGGAGGACTTTAATATTAGTAGTAGGAAAACAACGAGGCAGAAAAGGACTATATGCTTGTTTCCTTCTTGTCATCACCTACAGACCAGCTGCCTAGAGGAAAATAGTACTGTTCCATTAGATTTTAAACAAAAGCATATACATTTATATTACCTGAGCTAGAACTCAAATTAAAGGAACTCATTAACTCATCAACAGATTAAGCTATTACTACATGACTTCACAACACAGATTGTAGAGGAACTTAAATAACCTATGAGTTATGTTCTGAGACTATATTGCCTCAATGGCATGCCTGGGTAACACATGTGACTGAGACTTAACCCTCTTTCTCTGGTTCACCCACAGACAAACTAGTGCTCAGCCTGAAATCTGATATGAGGCTTAAATACACTCAATTTCTTGCAACTCTTACTCAGACCAGTAACAATTGAATAGTAGCAATTCTATTTAACATACGACCTACTGAAATCAGCAGTTTTATCAGCAGAACAAGGCAGAACCAGGCAGCCACTGCTGAGATGGCTTTAGCAGTGTAAGATATGATCTTTCACTGCCACAGAAACTTCAGAGATACAAGATAAATCATTTAGTATTCAAGCACCAAATGAGAAAAGGAACTGTCAAGAAAAATATGCACTTGCAGAATGCAAGCATAACTTCCTTTTGCTCCATAACAGCTTTGTTATAACTTTACTGATATATAATAGAAATAAATGGAAGTAGGGAGCTTTTAAGTCTGAAAAGTTTCACATTATGGAAGTTTTGAGCATCTCATATACAGAAGCCATTCATTCTTTCCTGAAAGTGCTCCTTATTAGTCACACAAGATAACAAAGATACCTTCATAAAGTTAAAACAATTGGATTGTTTGTTACAATTATTTTTAGCTCATAAGCAATTTCAAGAATAAGATAATGACAACTGGACAAAGAAACCTACCACAGTAGATACATTCAGCAAATCTGTAATTGTGTGACCAGTAGAGTTAGTGAACATGCATCAGCCAATGGGGAAAAATACCTGACTAATAAGGACACAAGAGACACAAGAGACTTTTGAAGCAGTGATTCCTCAGATGCTTCCCCCAGGTAATGTTGACCTTTTATTTCTTTGTTTTTATACAAGGCCATCTGTTTTAAGATATTACGTTACAGCAAGCAAAGTAAACAAAGTTGTCTGAAACTTTTATGGAAAATCTTTATTCTGCCAGTAAACATACTAACCCTGCTTTCCTCTTTCAGAACTTCTCACTGTACTTTCAAGAACTGCTGAAACTTGAGAATAGAAGGAACAACACTAACTTATTTGTCCCACAATGATTTTAAAAACCAACCTTTAGCTTTGTCTGTTTTCCCCTATATTGCTTTAGTAAAATACGTGTGTGCGCATGCACACAGAGCTGAGGTTCCTCCATCTCAGAAAAGAAATTGGAGAGGTTCTATTTTATACTGCAACAAATCCACTAGGAAAGCCAAACATTTAAGTTCTCCAACACACTTTAATTTTACCCCCAAGGTAGGACCCGACCTTCCTATCATCATCACTGTACTGGCAACAAAACCCAGTAATTTCTCCTCACTCTGTTTTTTCTCACCTCCTCCTCCTAAGGGCATCATCTGTGATTACTATTGGCAGGACAACCTTCTACATGCTGCTATGCTATGCAACAGGATGCACTGCTTATTCATTCATGTCTGCTCTTGTCTTGTTTGCCAGATTTTCCATATTTAAGATTCTCATCACTTTCAGCTGAAATGTGCAAAAACCTTTTTCTCCTGATTTTTTAAAAGCACATGCAAAGCAGATGAAAATTCCCGATTTACTCATGTATTTGTCTGTATGTTGCTACAGTTCTTTCACATTAAAGTATGCTCAATAATAGCTGCAGTAGCTAACTTCGGTTGAAGTGGTTATTACAGGCTAATGACTCAAAGATTCATTCAATTGCAGCAGGTAAACAGACATCAGAAGAGAGTATCAAGCTAAACACAGGTATCTGCCACTTCAGGGTGATAGATTATGTGACAAACTGCAGTCCCTCAATGTTACATTTTTGCACCTGTGTTCACACAAAGAACAAGGTACCTTCTCTGAAGTAAAGATGAAAATGAAAACCATTCACAGCTTTAGAGTACATCTGTTCCCAACTCTCCATATACACTGCATGCCAGCCAACACTACAGTTCAGGACAGAGATGGTAGAAAGCTCTGCCTGTGAGAGCACTGCCACCAGTTAGTTCACTCCTAAAGTTAACCAAAAGCCCTAGGCTGTTACTGTCACAACCAACTTGGGATCACACGCTTGGCTGGACTGCACAATGAGATTCAACCTTCTAATTTTTTTTACAGCTTTAGCACATAAGCATAACACTATTGCTCAAAGAACTGTTATTTTCTCACAGCTTACTGGCGGTGAAAAATGAAGGATTTTTTTTTTTTAATGAATGTTTTATTTTCCTGTGAATACCATTTCCTTCCCAAACCTCACTCTGTTCTCTTTTCTAGGTCTCCAATACACAGAGTAAGGATATTATTCTTCTCTGTAGATTCCCATGACATTTTGGCAGAGAGTTACAGCTGTGACAAGCCTTGGAATGGAGGTTTTGCTTACTGATGTGCTTAGCTTTGTGACTTGCTGCTGTTGAAAATTAGATGAAGACAACAAGCAGTATTTCTTTCATGAAGTAACAAGTGACCTGAGGGAAGCCTCTCTGGGTGGGAATGTAAAAAGAGTCCCAATTTTGATGTTGTACAAGTTTCCATGAATTAAGAACTTCAGGAGATGTTGGCAATCCCATTTCTTTTCAGCACCCTCTTCTCCTCACCGTTTATTCTCTCTGAAATCTAAGTTTATTTTTCTACAAGTTACTGCAAAACATCCAGAACACATCTGACACTCCACTCCTACCTGCACTGTTTCAAGTGACACTAGATACAAGACTTACATTATGTTAACATTTAACAATATATTAGCTGTCAGTCACATGCCTAGAACTCAGTTTTATGACAAGGAAAAACCTGACTGCTAAAATACGCCATTAATGACTATGACTTTCTTTGTTCCAACATACACAAAAAAAAAAAATCTATGCACGCAGCCTCATGCTGCCTGAGCTATCAGCTTCTAACCCAGAAACTGTAACTTAAAGGGGCACTTAAGCTTTCAGATGAGGCAGGTTATTCTGCTATGGCCCATAATGTTCAGGCATAATGCAAATGCTGTAGACAACTGAGTTCACCCCACTGTGAAGAGTGGATCTTTTCTCCAGGCCTCTAGACAATATTAAGATCATCTCCAACACCTGTGGCAGAACAGACTTTTTGCTAAGGCCTCTCAACAGTAGTACGATTGTTTTCAGTGCTGTGGTAGCTTGAGGCTCACCAAACCAAACCCTGCAACTACAGAAAACCTCAGATTCCGAGGCTCAGCACCTCAAACTGATCTCCAGAGGCACTGAAAAGTGATACAACCACCAGACAGGAGCAGTGCTGAGGCGAGAACAAGGCCACCCGGAACAGTGGTGAGGAGGGCTGGGACAGGGGAGAGCAGCCAGCACCTCTTCCCAGTTGAGCCTGCCAGTGCTCAGAGCACACCAGTTTCCTGCCACCCTGCCACCTCTATGCATTTGGACTGGCCGGGGAGAGCAGGAGGTCCCACCAAAACACAGCACGAAACCCTCCGAGGGGAGGCGGCTCCGGGGCGTGCAGCAAGGTCGCGGCCAGCTGCTTTCTGCGGAGTGGCTGCACAGCGAGGGCCAGCGGCCGGACCTCAAGCGGCGAGGCCGGGGGCTAAGGGGATGGCCAGCAGGACGGGGGCAGGGAGACGAGCGACGCCTGTCTCGTTACCTCTCCATCGCCCGCACCGTGTAGCTGACGAGCGGCCTCCCTTGCACGGTGCAGAACTGCTTGGGGGTGGCACCACCCAAACGCTCCCCGGTACCGCCCGCCGGCAGAACGGCCGCCACCGCCGCAACGGCGGGCCTGGGGCAGCGGCTCCCGCTGCTGGGTTCCATCTGCACAGGGCGCCTCGGCTGCTCTGCTTCTCACCCCACAGGCAGAAGGAACCTCCCCCCCCGCCCGCTTATTTGCGCGGAACGTCCGCAAACCGAAGAATCCAGCGCCTGCTCGCTCGCCTGACAACACCGGGGACCGGGCCCTACTCCTCCCCCACTCCGCGCCACGCGAGGCCCCGCGTAGGAGTGCGGCCCCAGGCGGCTCCACGGCATACGCCCACAGGCCGCAGCGGACGCCCACCCTCCCAAAGCACCCCGGTAGCGGGCACGTGACAGCTCAAGGCGGACGCGACTGCCATTGTCCCTTTAAAGTGCGCGACGCGCGGGTCACTCCGCCCAGCGCATGCGCAGCTTGAGGCCATGGATTGCTGCGCCCGCCTGAGAGGTGGGGGTTGTCGTCTCCAGTCCAGTCAGGCCGGGAGGGGCGGGTGGCTCTGTCTTTGCGCCTCCTGGGTCTCCCCCGGCGCTGGGCTCCGCTGGTCGCGGTGAGGTGTCTTGTTTGATGAGATAAATACAGCGTGTCTGGAACGGAGGGAAGGGTGGGCTGAATCCGGCTCTATGCCTTTATGCGAGCCCCCGCCGTGAGGCAGCCGCTTCTGTACGAGGCGGTTAGGGACGCCTGCCCCAGCCTGGTGTAGGTTGCCCTTTATCTTAGGAGGGAAGGGTTGAAGAAGCAGTAGTCTCAACTGGAAGCTGGGATGTACCCGTTCATCTCATGGGGTTGTTGTAGGCAGTAGTGAGACAGGTTGGTTGGAAAACTCCCTAGGACTCATATGCATTAGGTGGAAGAGGAGATGCAGCCCAGTGGAGGAGGGGGCTTGCTAAGTGTGACATAGAATGGGTTGGGTTGGAAGAGACCTTAAGGATCATCCGGTTCCAACCCCCTGCCATGGACAGAAGCACCTTCCACTAGACCAGGTTGCTCAAAGCCGTGTTCAACCTGGCCTTGGACACTGCCAGGGATGGGGCAGCCACAGCTTCTCTGAGCAACCTGTGCCAGTTTCCCTCCACCCTCATAATGAAGAGGTCCTTATGTCTAATGCAAATCTACCCTCTTTAAGCTTAAAGCCAATATTCCTGCCCTATCACTACTTGCTCTTATAAAAAGGCCCTCTCCAGCTTTTTTGTAAGTCTGCTTTAGGCACTGGAAGGCTGCTGTAAGGTCATCCCAGAGCCTTATCTTCTCCAGGCTGAACTCCAACTGTCTGTGTGTCTTCATAGGAGAGGTGCACTTGTAATAAGCTAAACAGGTCTCAGGTTGATGTCTGACTTCACTGTATGTCTTACACTGTAACTTGAGTGCATTCAAATACTACTGCTAAGCTCTGCCCTCATCTGAAAATTTTTGACATCTCGCTGTAAAGATAGTTTTGCAAATCTGCAAGAACTATTGTGAGCTTGTTGCTCACACCAGTCAGGGAGCAGAGAGGGCCAGCCACTCCAAAAAGGGAGGGAAGCCTGGAACAGATCACGGTGTCAAAGCAAATGAGAACAGTAGCCTCACCAGCCAGGAGCAAGATGCTAAGCATGGGTCAGGATCAGGGCCCTGGTGTCAGGCATAGTCCAGTGATCACCTGCAAGTTCTCAGTGAGGTAGCAGGTCCCAGGGCTAGCCAGGAAGCTGAGCCAGTGTATGCTGGTCCAGGTCAGGGTGGCACCAGTTCAGGTGCAGATATAGGGGGCCAACAGTAAAGACTCTGCTTAAAAGTATCTCCCAAGGGAAAAGGAGGAAAGGAGGGTCAGATCTATGCTTCTAACTTTCTTCATAATAGCTTTTATTAGTAGAAGAGCTGACTTTGGGCTTGGTGAGCTGAGCTCCTTAACTCAGACAACTAAACTCGAAGGTGGCTACACTCAGGCCCTAACATTGTCCTCTTTGACATTATTTTTAGGGAAAATCCATGTCTATATATGCTAAAATGACCAGAGATGTTAAAGTCTGCACAGCTCTGTCTTTTAGAGAAGCTAACTTATTTACAGTTTTCCAGGTTTCTTTTAGTTGAGAGGAACCTAAGTAGGACACATATGGAGACTTATCTGAAGAGTGGGTCTGATTGAAAAAGCAGCATGAAAGGGAGTTTGTTGTATCCCAGCTGGGCTGCTTTGCCAGTGCCAGCTGTGGGCTGGGGTAGAATGATCATATGGGATCACAAGAGGCATCATAAGTAAGAGTCACACAATGGGAGTAAAGTGATCCTTGTTAGTAAAAGCAGAGTTCACAGATATACTTGATGCCTGCAATAGCCGAAAAGTCATGGAAAATGGGCCAGCACAGTCCCTTTACATATAGAGATGTATTGATAGTTATAAAAATGAACAAAAATCACATCAGCTCATACTGTATAGTGAAACATGAGAGGGACTGATGGCAAACAAAAGAAGATACCTTAATTGAAAACATACAGATGTGCCTTTTAGGTAATGACATGTTCAAAAGCTTCTGTGAGGAATAAATGTATTACCATGGAAAGTGAAGGAAAGTGGTATGTAAAAGAGAAGAAAGGATATGAGTTATACAGATTGCTGAAAAACTTGTGGAATTGAGACCCTTTTCACCATTAGCTAGAAGCTGAACAATTGTTGCTTCCAGTTGTCTTCCAGGCTGTTTACTATGGGGGGGATTATGTTTTTTTTCTGTGGGGTTTCTTTTAGAAAATCCATTGGCTCATAAACTATGTTTACCTGTTTGTCTTCATTTTCAGTGGGTCTTATGTTTTATTTTCTTAGAAAGTATTTGTCTACACCTGATTTCTTACTGATGGCATACATTTGCCTATTGTTTCTTTTCAGGACTTCCAAGTTTGTCCCGACTTTTCCCCTCTGTACAGATTGCTGCCCACTCAGCATCACTTCTTTGTTATTGGATGCCCAACTTTTTTCTTCATAAGGTAAGTACCTCCAGCATTTGCAGTCATATTGGATCACATACATTACGTTATTCTGAGTTTTTCTCAGCAGGTTGTTCTGCAATGTCCTGACCTTTTCCAGTTTTTCAGTGTAAGAGGCATTTTGAATTCCTGACTCTGGTCTTCATACTTCCATTCATAAAGAGCACAAGCATTAATCTAGTCAACTGTAGCTGATTTTCCAGACATTTTTCTTGTTTTCATTATTATAAAGAGCACAGTAAGGTCTTTTTAGTTCCCATGGCTCCTCCCACTGTACATTGGTTCTGAGGGGTAGGTAAGTAGGATGTTCGCAAACACAAACACAGAACTGTTTTCCCTTCCTTCTTCACACTATGGTTTTGCGTGTCTTCTCCTACTCCAACAGTCTGTTGTGTCTAGGACCTTCTGTCTTGGCCATGTAGTGTTTTCCCACTTAATTTCTTTCATGGACATTAATTTCTTATGTGAAGGGTAAAAAGGCAAGAGAGCTTGAAGAAAGGGGATCACGTGCTAAAATGGGTTCCATTCTTGTTCTGAAGCCTTTTCCTTACTATGTTTGCTGGACAAGGCTTGATCTGCCCAGAAGAAATTATATTTGGTAATAACTTTGATGGATGCTAACTTCAGTAGCCTCAAGTATGTTATAAATTTATGTTAAGATTTGATGAGCCAGCAAAGCAGCACTTTGAAACTGCTTTTGGCTGTACTTGAACATCAAGCTTCAGAAGTTTTCACGCTTTCCATGGTCCCTCTGGGGTAAAAAGTTCTTGTCTGTTGTTGATAGCACTTGTTAGTTCCTCCAGTAAGCCCTTCAGTTTAGATTCTTGGAGTCTTGGGTAGACTGATCACTGATCTTGTTAACTGCTATTTCTCCTTTTACTGTCTGTTTTCTTAGCAACATAGAAGGGTGTATTTAACATCAGTATCAATTTATTCTGTGTCTTAGCATGAGTTAAGAAAATTAGGATTTTCAGTTTTACGTCTTTTTAATATCTGATACATGCAATGAAACACAGTGGCATTTTGTGCATACATAATTTGTTTCAGTTTCATTCCATTTTGCATTATTTTATTGAATCAATCTAATAATTTGGTTATTGTGCATATATGTGCATGTTCATATATAAACATTTGAAGTGGGGTAAAAATTAAATTCACACATATTAGGAGAGCAATTTTGCACAGGTTGTTTTGCATAAAAAGGGCAGAGGCAGCATTTTTGCCTCAAAGCAAATTAGGAGCAGGCCAATCCATCATTTCTGTGCAGGGGTATAACAGCTGAAAACAGAGTAGTAGTCTGCAATTATGCAGTAAATATGCCAGTGATATGTTTGACAAGAAAAGTGGGGTTTTTTTTTCTTTTTTATTGAAGAAAGAAGATGCGTACAAATTGGAATCAAATTACAGAAGTGAAATTCACCTGAAAATTTAATTGCTGGGGGAAAAAAATCATTTAAGTCTGAAACTCATAATAGTGTTTCCAGAGAACATTGTTATTTAAGTTATAGAAATCATGCTGAAAGTTTTTTGTGAAAAATGAGTAAAAGAATAAAATTTCTTAATTTAAAATTGCAGTTGAGTCTTCCGTAGATGTGGTATAAATTAATTGCAAGATTTTGTATCAATTTTTCAAAGTCATTTCTAAACTCTGGAATCATTTTGCTTTTAATGAAGGCAAAATAAGATAAATTTCTTTTTTCTTGACCAGCAGCAAGGTTTACTATTTTATGTTTTAAAGGGAAATGCATGCAATCAAGTAACATTTTTAAAATTAAAGTGAACTGCAAAAGCAAAATTACAAAAAAAAAACCCTAAATGAACAAAAAACACCAAGCCTCCCCCCCCCCCCCCAAAAAAAACCTAATACTTCCTACAGTGGAAGTGCAAGATCTGTAAAAGACAACTTAAGCTAAAAATATTTAAAATCTGAGAGCCATTCTTGCAGGTAACATAGTATCTGCAGCATTCTGAGAGTGATGCGGGCTCTTAGCCAGAACCTTGGGTTTGCAGGATTTTTTTTCACTAATTTTATCCAGTTATAGAAGCTATTACTTCAGTGGTGGCAAGCCATGAAATTAACATCCAGAGCTGTAAGTAAGCAAGTGCAATGTCAGTTCTTTTAAGACTTTTTCTATTCAAGTAGGATAGCAGTCTTGACTTCCTTTAATTCACCAGTAACTGTCTCTTAACTGTTGAAGTCACTGTTTACAGAGACAGACACAGGTTCTTTGGATATCTCAAGAGACTAGGAAGTCCCTAAAAAGACTCTAT